CGAATAAAACTATTACAACATCCTATAAATATAAAAGCTAATAGAAAAATATGAATAATTATGTTTAGAAATGTTAAATAGCTTCAAAACTACCGCAGCTTGTGTAGCGTCATATGAAATGATAACCCAGATGTCACCTAAGTCTGAGTGTGCTGATGCTCTTTTATATAACAGAATCACAGTGAAAGCAAAGAAAATCAATACGTATGAAATCTGAAGGTTTTTTTATTTTTCTGATGGGAAATTGAATTAAATAAAAGACCTTTTGGCATCTTGACATCATCTCCTCTCTCCATGGACCTTCAGTCTGTGTGAACACACCAATAACCTAAATCACCGGAATCTTTGGACCTTTGCATACATACAATCATCTCCTGTTGGTTCAGTGTGCCGAGATCGCCTCGAAAACTTGACTTGGCCATACTCCACGTCCACCTCCGCCTCTGTTGTTTGCACCGCTGGCTTCCCCTGTTGCTTCATGATCCTGACATCAGCATAGGTTACATCTTGGTCACATTCATCCTCTGCAGAGTAGCAAGAAGATTGTTACAAGCAGAGTATTACAGATGGTTAACTTTTAAAGGTTTTAATTTTTGTGAAGTCTTTTTGCTTTCTTTATAAGAGTTTCAAAAAATATTTTCACAGTGATATCTGCTGCAGAAAGACCTGGTTAGCTTCAGCTCATGGACTGGAGAAAATGAGTCAGATACAAAAATCGGTTTTAAAATGAGTTCTTTGGCAATGCTTTAAGACAGACTTTGTTACCTTTGCACACAGCGGTCTTCTCGGCTTTTGTGTTGAAGCTTATTAGTTAACAATACCCACAGATTTTATATGTGACAGAAGAATTTTTGTACCTTTTGGTTTTGTAGGTTTGTTGTTTTGTTTTTTCCTCTGAGCACAGATGACTGCCACACCCACAAGTAAGAAAAATACCAGTGCTGAGAGAACACCACCGATCAGTGGCAAATTGGCTGTTTCAAAAGTAAAATATATAAAAACAGATGTTTCAGTTATCAAAGGTATGTTTTTTGTAAAGGAACATAAAGAAAGAGAAAGTGACATCAGTGGATCTAGTTAGTTTTCACTTACTAATGTACCATTGGTCATCACTGTTGGAAGTCACAGTTTCATTGTTGAATTGTGTAATTGACACTGTGCCAGTCTCCTTACCCACAGAAGTTGGTGTGACTGGGGTAGGTTCTGTTGTTGGTTCAATACACAGGCCGTTACTGTCCACAGGCACCCACCCTAATATCTGTGTCCCATTGATTGACGTGCAGTTAATGAAGCCTGGCAGAAAAAAAACAAATAATTCGAGAAAGATGTTCGAAGTGAAATAGTTGTTATTATTGACTTTCATTCATAATGTTGTTACTCACGACAGGTCTTCTGTTCTTTGGAGACATTACTGACGTTGTTCCTGACTGAGCAGACCAGATGTCCTGACACGTGCTGTTTCAGAGTGATGTTGTTAGTCTCATTATTTCCAGAAAGGAGCTCAGCATCTGTCAGTGTGCGTCCATCCAGAGTCCAGCTGTACTGAGGACTGTCCCCTCCCTTAGAGGAGCAGGACACCCTCATCTCTCTCTGGGACAGACACTCAGAGACCAGCAGGACAGAGGACACAGGAGCTGAGAGAAACACACACAGATGACTTAGATTTCAAATTTAAATCTTTGTCATTGTTGATACTCTCTAATGGAGAACAGGGAAAGCATAAAATACATGTAGCTTGTGTATTTTGTGCTATATCACTAAAGTTATCAAAACAATGTTAAATTGATATCTATTCATCTGTTATGAACAGAGAAAAAAATACCTTGAATAACACTGTAAAGTCGCTCGCCTGATGATTTTCCATCTGAATCAAAGGTTTAAGGGTATAATACCACTGTCATTCCTGCTCAGGTTATTGATCCTAAATGTTCCATTACTGGGAAAAAGTAGATCTATGTCTATGGTATTAGAAATACCTTATTATTTCTCACATTAGTATTTTAATGAATTCTTAACAGTTGGTATCTAGGTATTTCTGGGTGCTGTCCATCAGCTGGATGTCCACAGTTCCTCCAAAGCTCCATAACACTGAGCTCCATCCTGTCTGCCATCACAGTAAGTTTCCACACCTGCAAATTGAAACAAAAGCAAAAACTAAAAAACATTGTATTTCAGCTAACAGCTCCATCTGACAATTAAGTTTAAATGTTTTAGAAGAACATTTAACAAATCATCTTAAATCAGTTATATCAGTAGAAGTACAGATAATTAACTGTATGTCTGAGTTTTGAATTTTGCAAGTCGCCCAGTGTTTTTCTAAAAACAAATCCTTTAGTGAATTTTTCAATTTTAGCGTTTTAAAAATATATTTAACTCACCCTATAATTATGATATTGTGTTGTTTATGAAAATGATTGATGTTAAAGCTAGAATGTTTTCATTTTTTAGTTTTTGTTTGCATACTGTCTGTATAATACATTTTACTGTAGTAAAATAACCCTAAAAATTTGTTAGAGTGCACATTCATGTTAAAATGTTGAAATGATATTAGAACGTAGCATTATTGTAAAGTTAAAGACTTCAGAAAATAGCACTGTTATTATGTTCGACATGTCAGAATGAATTTATTTAATAATTTCTTTTTTAAAATGTCTGTCATTGACAGTCTTGGATCCTGTAATTGCAAAACATGCTATTTATGCACAGAAACGAAGTATGATGAATTACAACATGAAAAGCTCACCATGAGAGAATCCGAGCACATCTAGTTATAATTTATGGATATGTTTTATCTTATTTATTGTCTAAACACTGATAAACTGCATTATTACTATAGTTTTAACAATACATGATGCACTCATTTATCCTAAAACGGCCAATTTCAATCTAATGCCACAAAAAAAATTCCATTTAATTAAAGTGTGATTATTAAACACATGTGGTTAATGACTTGTGGTTTACACAAACCTAATTACTAACAGTTCAGTGTAGTTTGTAGGTGGAGGTTGTCTTCCTTTGGCTCTTCAGTCCAAAGATAAATTTACAGCAAAGTGTTTCAGGAAGTTCACAGTAAGCAGACGAGAGAGGGGATTTGTTTCCATGATGCAAATACTTCTGCTTTTTTCTCAGACGTTGGTTTTCATTCTTTCTTCTTTTGTTTTCTGCTCAAACCGTTTGGATAAGATCAAAGTTCAATAACCACTTAGAGCAATAATACAGTGGAGTGGGCTGTGTAGGTTTAATCGTGACACTGGTTGTAAAAAAAAAAAAGGAATATGTTTTGTTTCAGTGTATCAAGACCAGCAATCTTATAAATACTGTCTCCTAATTGCCTTCAAATGTAAAATTGATTCAGAAATTCAATTTTAAAATGTAAATACTCCTCTACTTTTCATATTTAAACAGTACTTTAAATGTTTGTGTTGATGATTTGTGACTACACTAAAAGGAGTTCAGTGAACTAGCTGTAGTTTGAGGAAGAAAGTTGTTTTACTGCATGTGAAATTCTGAGCTGAAGCCACCTGTTTATCATTTAACAGCATCAACTTATGTTTTCTATATTTAGTTCAATTACACTTCCTACATGTTTGCGGTTCGAGTTTAAGTTGTACCTGTCAAAAAAACAGAGATTATATCATCAGTCTCTTCAAACAGTGCATGGTTTTTAATCAAATATAAGGTTCTAACTTAGAGGTTTGAAGAACTGCTGTTATCCATTCAAATGATTTTAAATTAATAAAAGGTCAGCTGAACAAAAATCAGCTGAAGCAGATGTTTCAGCGTTAATCAGGAGGTAGAGTGAGAGTCATGGATGGAAAATTATTTTAGCCTGTGTTAAAACTAAAACTAAGTAATTATGTTTAAGATGAATAGCTGTTAAAAGGAGAATCACAGTTGAAAACAGGATAATGCACATGTTTAGACCAAGTCATTAATCAGAGATTACAGAGATTCAAGATTCAAACGTTTCATTGCTGTTTGAGTCTCAGACAGATGCACGTGCAGAGCACTGCACGGTGAACCTTTTCTTACAGATGCAGAGTAATTCTAAATAGGGTCATTCACAGTACCGGCATCCTTGGTGTGGGTGTGAACACGGTCAGACCGACTATCGCGTCTATTTGAAGCACAGGAAGGCCGATAACACATTTGTATAAACCATATTTAAAATGAAATGGCGCCGAATGAGTTTGGTCCCGTTCGGTTTACTGTAATGTTTGCCCATTTCAGTTCCTCTTTTCTGCATTTAGACTGTTATATAAAAAGAAGAAAATACCTTTCATGGTTGAGTGTTTGCTCCAAAATACTGGTAATATTTTTGTCACCTGACAAATGCAGAAGTTGCAACTGTTGGCACAAAACAGATGAAATACATTTGGTTAGATATGGGGTTAAAGGTTGATAACCATGCACTGACTTTATGCTGATTCATACTGCCATAAAATTGGTGTTTATGGTCCATTACAGTTGTAGTTTCCTCAGAGTTTATTTTTTGATCATGTGATCAGTCAGCAAATGCTGCTTTATACATCAGAGCGCGCCAGTATGAGCAACGTTGTTTTTACCTTTTAATGCGTGTGTGGCATAGGAAATGCAAACGAGTGAACTGTTGCACATTCACTATAGAGAAGCTGAAGCACATACACACCAGGGGATTTTATAATTGTCGTGACATGATCATGTGATGCTGCCTCGCAATGCCAAAGCTGTTAAACTATAAAACCAGACTGGCGCCAGTTCTCTGGTCTTTAGCACTTCAGTTTTTAAATTGATAAAAGCCTTGAACTATAAATACTTTTCAAACAGAATATCATTTATATTTTTAATGCAAGAGAATGAAAACATTTTTACATGTTTTTTTCTTTAGTATTGTACAGTACAGATTTTGTAGTTTAAAATTGGTACTTGTGTCTTACATACAAAGTGTGTATGTAAAGACTTTGTTTTTCCACAGACAGTTATAGACACATGCACACAGACACTCAGCCATACATACAAACCGCATTCACGCATGCATGCACAAACAGCACAAAACAAACACACACACTTGTGCCTTAAAGTGGCAACTGCCTAATAAATAATGCAAATTACAAAACCGAAAACCAAAATAGTCCTGTGTCTTTCCTCTCTTTCTGTAACCTTTAATACACCTTGTACAAATTGAAAATTGTTTTCCTTTTTTCACACAATAAAAAAAGAAGAAAAAAGATTGTTAAGGAATGTAAATGTGTTTATTTATTGTTATTTTTTTGTAATTTAAGGATATACAATTGAGGTCATCTTAGGCTTTATTGTGATGAATTTCATGTCAAGGTCAAGGTCAAGTTTATTTATATAGCACCTTTAAAACAACCGGAGTTGACCAAAGTGCTTCACAGGCAGCCAATAATAAAACATAACAAAAAGGAAATGTCAAGGTTTAGATCGAATTAAAGGCCAGAGAGTAGAAATGAGGCTGGAGCAAAGACTCAAATCTAGAAACAGATTCTGCAGTTCTAGTGTGAAATCGTAAGTCACCTTTATTTTTAAGTCTAGTTTATGGAAGTCACATCTGATTGGAAGACCTCTGACAGGAGTGTGAACATAAAAAAAGATCCAACAAATAAAGCGTTGTAGGCTCATTTAGAGTCTTAAAAGTGATGACAGGAAGCCAATGTATTAGTTTTGCGCATTTATAGATAGAACTTCATACTAATGTTATATTTCTTCATCAAGAAGCCTTTTCCTGTAGAAACTGTGTTGTATGAAAAGCAAATTGACCCACGTGAATGTGGCTAGAGCAAATTAACAGAAAATACAACTCTAAATCAATAAAACCTCAGTGCTGAGGAGAGGGTTTAAGCTGCAAAGCCAACATAAACTCCACTTGAAACACACAAAAGCATGCACAAACACACTGAAGAGCTAAATTAGAAAACAGTGACTTTCTTACACTCTAAACATTTGTGATTACACAACTGCACTGTTGATAAGTCAGTCATTTATTTAGAAATGGAAAAACCTTTAATCGTTAGATGACTCATACCTACTGAATTTCCACATCTTTTGTTTCTCCTTTCTTTTCTTTAACATTACAGTGAAGAAGTATCAAAGTGTGTCAGCATTTCTTGCTTGTACAGCACATCCTTTAACATTTCATATATACAGACATTGGGTTCTAAAAAAATAGAGAAGTGTAGACATTTTTTAAAATAAAACGAATATATCCAGCTCCATGCCAGAGCTGAATGTCTGTGCCACAGCGACTGTAAATCACGAGTCATGCAGTTGAGCAATCTTCAGCAGTTTTTCAGGATGTGGCTAAACTCTCCCGTCTGAATGTCTAAAACCAGTGACACTTTTAATAATGCTGCCCTTGCTTTGCTGCAGCTAAAATGTAGAGTAAATGCATGTTTTCAGAAAAACAAAAAGAACAATTTAACCACCTTTCGAATTAGATATCTGCTTTCCCCATCTGATTTCCTGTAACTTCAAGTTGTCATAAAAAAGGCGTGTTAGTGTCACGGTACTGCCTTGGAAACAAGAAGAAGGGCTGTCAGTTTTTTTTCTTTTTTATATCTGCATTTGCATTATATTCCTGTTAATGGATACATATACAAGGAAAAGACAACAAGAAAGACACTAATCCTCTTTCTTGGGCACGCACTGTTAAAACGCTATCTTGACGTTGATAATGATTAACACAAGCAAGTGGAATAAATGCCCACTCGACTCGATCCATGTGACAAACGTGTGGTGGTGACATTGTAAAATAGAGGTGATCTTCAAGTGAATCTTTTTCATTCGTTCTGTGGTGAACTTGTACAACTATTAAAAACATTATTTACACACACAGATACAGTGCCAGTCTTTCACATAGACTTCACCTAGTACTCCTCCGATACTGCATCTGACAAAATGTTCCTGCTGGGGCTCACGGGGTTGTGGGTGTCACTGTGTGCACACAGTACAGGTGGAGTGGGTGTGGTTGTTGAGGCCTGCTGGGAATGCTGCAACTTCTTCCTGTTGATCTTCCTCTCCTTGGCACGTCTGTTCTGAAACCAGATCTTCACCTGAGACACACATGCATGAGATATCAGCATCAAGAACGTTTCTCAGTTAGGGAGCATTATGGCTTGTTCCCTAAACAACATCAAAAGAAACAGCACATCATTATCGTTTTCATTTCTTCTATAAATCGCTTATTTGCTGCATTAAAAGGAAGTTGAAAACTGCAGCGACTTTGCTTTCTGTGGTAACGTTCCCTTGCCTTGCTTCATCTACTTGAAATTTAGTAATCTCTGACTTTCCCAGAATTACTCTGGGAGCTACAACAATTGCACTCAGCTGTGGTTTTAAGAAGCTGCAAGGGCAAGCAGAAGAAACAACAAGAACAGCATAATAACAGTAAGATTGAGGGTTTCACCATTAACACTACTTATGCGTTTGGCCACATATGTTAACATTACGGTTTGCAGAATTTGTTTTTTTCTCTGGAGCTCGTTTCTCCAGAGGGGATTGTTTGAGAACATTGTGCTCACATGTGCTGCATTAGTAGAAACCCTACACTTAACCATGGGAATAAGTAAAATACAGCACAGTGGTAATAGATGGCCTGCAGATGCAGGGTTTTTTTTCTAATGCACAATAACATCAACAAAATAAATCCAAGCTCCACCTTCCCTGTTATCTCACTTCACATAAGAAAAAAAAAGAAACCCACAAATGAGATAATAACCCCGTAACACAAAGTTAATGCCATATTTGAGATCTGTGCATCATCAGTGGTACACTGTTTACAATCAGATATCTGCAGTATATGCAGATTTATGCGGTGAGCATGAAATTCCACAAAAATGCCAAGATCATTTTTGTTATACCCCATGTGTGTTTATACACATGGGGTATAATAAGTATTGAACACATCACCAGTTTTCAAAGCAAAATATATTTCACATGGTATGAAATTCTGACCAGATGTCAGTAACAACCCAACCAGTCCGCACATGCAAAGACAAATTAAACTGCGGATGTCCATAAACGATGTGTAATAATAAGAAGTGACACAGGGAAAAAGTATTGAACACATTTACTGACATTTATTTAATACTTCGCACAAAAGCTTTTGTTGGTGATGACAGCTTCAAGATGCCTCCTGTGTGGAGAAACTAGTCAGAAATTCAAATCCTGAAGGCTCTGTGGGCCTCTTCTATGAACTCTGGGGTTTAGTTCTTTCTATAGATTTTCAACTGGATTCGGGTCATGTGATTGGCTGGGCTATTTTTAGCAGCTTTATTTTCTGTTTCTGAAACCAGTCAAGAGTTTCCTTGGCTTTGTGTTTGGGATCATTGTCTTTCTGAAACGTCCACCCCTCGTTTCATCATCATCATCCTGGTAGACGGCAGAAGATTTTCATCAAAAAAGTCTTGGTACATTTTTCTATTCATCCTTCCCACCTCTTAACTTCCCTGTTGGTGTTTTGGGGTGATATGCATTGCCCTATTGACCTCCTAACATGGCGTGTATTTTGCCATCCAAAGAGTTCATTTCAGTCTTATCTGACCAGACTATATTCCCCCCAGTATTTCACAGGCATGTCTAAATATTGTTCAGCAAACTTTAAACATACTTCAGCATTTTTGGCAGTTAAGTGGATTTCTTTGAGATAATGATAGAGATAAAGGTTACGGTAAACTCCGGTAACTAAAAAAAATTTAATTATTTTGTGGTTCTGGCTTTACAAGGTTAAAAAAAATTAGGGCATATTTTTTATACCCCTAACATAAACATGTTAAATTTGCAGTGACCTTCCTTATTATTGTCACTCACAAAAGGGGGTATCAAATATATACTTCTTGGCCTTGGCCTATAGATTTGTTCATGCAAACCATGGGGGGTTTGCACTAACAAATCCCACATTCTGTTTCCTAACTGAGTTTCAACAGTAACGAAACACACTCTGTCTCATTGCTTCATGGGGGTTTTCTGCTGTGAGTTTAGTTTATCTCATTTGTTCCTCCTAAGGAGGAACCTAAAAAAAGAAAAACAGAACATGTGGTTGGCTACTTTGAAAGGGTTAGGCGTTTGTAATTCTTTGAATGTGAAGAGAGAACGCAAAAGTTACACAGTCTCACTGTCCTAGACAGTTTCTATATATTTTCTACATTCAGTTTTTCTATATAATTTCTACATTGACCGTTTATTTACTCTAATCTTCTCACCTGCCTCTCGGAAAGGCTGAGTGCCATTGACAGCTCTGACTTCCTTCTCATTGTGATATAGCGGTTGAACTGAAACTCTTTCTCAAGCTCCATCCTTTGGTGGTCAGTGTACACCACCCTGTACTTGTCCTTAGTGCGAGTCTTCCCACCTAAATCAGACAAAACAATTGCTTTTTAGTAAAAAATCAATAAATATTAAGAATAGTAAACATAAGCACAAAAATAAAGACAGTGAATGTAAGTAAATAGAGTCAGTTTTTATTCATGTGTATGGCCCACATCTTTTTCAGGAACTAATAATTTTGTGTCAGTGAGTCACGAAATGTGTGTGTCGTGACCAAACAGTCTGGTGCCACGTTCAAGTTCAGGCGCCACTTAAAACCTCATCAATTCTACTAATCGTGCTCACACTATAACGAAGGCAAAGACTCCCCACTGCATTGCATCAGTGCTTCTCCTTATCACCGTGAGTGCTGTCTACACAGCTCTTTACATAGGCAGCTATTCATTGACACGCATGTTCACATACACACTCAAGAAACTAGGAGTCACAGTTATTGATCAGAAAACTAGCTCATGTGACAGCATTGATCCAGCCACACCCACACACACAGATACACACAAGAGGGTTAAGAGAGGGTTAGCCTCTAGAGGAGACTTCGTTTAACTTCTGCAGACTTCCTGCACTTCCAGTGTTATCTATCCAGTTTGTCACCATCTCACACCCACCCAGTGGACAGAGAGGGTGGGGTGTGAGACTTGTGTAGACTTCATGGCCTCCACTGTTAGCTTTGCATTGACATCTCACAGCATGATTGTCCAAAGAGAGGCGAACACCTTGATGAATGTGCGCCTGCTGAAGTTGGGTTTGTTTTTCACTTAAAACAGGTTTGCATGTGTTTCTCATGTGTTACCCATACTTGTACGGTTTTTTTAGGTTTAGTTAGTCATGCAACCACAGTGACAGCTACAAAGGTAACCCAGGAGGTTGTGTAATCTCCTTCCCCTATAGGATGTGTCTTATCAAGATGCTGCATTTCCTGTTTGTGTCACTTGTTAACATTTAAGACAGCTAATATGTGATCAGTCGCGAGAATGAAGAAGAAGAAGAAAAAAAACAGAGACAAGTGCGTTTGAAGTACTCCAGATAACAGATATTTGTATGCACGAAGCAACTTTAGATGAAGATGTTACAAATGTTCTTTATATCTGTATAATTCACTGAATACATTATGCAGACCAAAATAAGCCTATGATTAAGAATAAGTATGACAAAGTAAAGTCCCACCTGAAGTTGTTTGTTTAACGGGCTCCTGTGGTCTTTTCCTGGGAATGAGGGGATCCTGTCCAGAGATGAAGTTGTAAGGGGTGAGCGATCCCCCTCCAGCGGCGGAAGGAACGTTGCTCAGATCCGGGTAGGTGAAGTTGACCTGCGCGGTGTTGGGGCTTGACCCCGGGAAGCTGTAGGGATACTCCTCCCGGGGCGCGTAAAGGGGGTTCCAGGTACTTGCCGACAAATCACCGACTCCCGTGACGTGATGGTGGTAGCTGGGGAAGTCATACGGAGGCGGAATGTACTGACTGTTCAGTGACAGAGCCTGAGCCGTTTGTCTGATAGAAGCAGAGCTCGGGTACATCCCGGTATCCTCGCTCGACAAGTAGGGTGAATCTCTGGAAGACCTGGAAAAATCAAACCTCCAAGAGCATGTTAGGCCCCCGAGTTTATCTTCAGCAAGCTCTGTTTTCATTTCAGTCTAAGGTTCAGGCTACCTGTGCAGTAAGACTACACACCTTTATAGATTTACTGGCAAGGAGTTCGAAAGTATCATCCTGACGTCACGCTTTACCTGAGACTCACCTGCCTGCTGGTCTTTGCGACGTCAGGGCAATGACCCCGATTTGCCAGGTTTGCCCTGATGAATCATTTTGATAAGGCGGTACAATGTGTGGAATGCGTGGGAAGTCCATGTGCCTCCGCGTGCATGTATATAGGGGCTTAGATTCAACGCAGAGACTACAGGCCAACACCAATAATAATAATAATAATAATAATAATAAAACGGACAGAGGTGGAAGGAAACAAATACACAAACAAACAAGCAGGAAAACATACCACTATATGTTTTTGTTTTTTTCAAAGCAAGGAAAATTTTAAAATATAAAATTACATATGTTGAAAAATAATCAGGTCAGGATTTCCGGTTACCCATAAAGACCTCGCCATGCCGAAGATTAAAAAAAATGCACATTCATTTATTAATTTATATTTTTATTTTGATATAGTTTAGCTTCTTATTTTAAAGCTTAAATATTGTTTTTCTTCACTGTCAACTTAATCTTCATACACTAAAAATAACTTAATTATTCAACCCCAATAAACATGCAAGTAAAACATTTGAGTAAGATACAACTTAAATATATAAAATTAAAGGTTTATTTACTCAAATAAGAAATCGTGAGGAAAAACGTGCATTGTATGAACTAAATGTAAACCAATCAAGCAAATTACATTTGCATACTGTATTGAAAAAAACATGGAAAATGTACATGTAATTAAATTAGTTAAAGTCCATATTTTAATTCTATACATCACAGGAACATTAGAACATGTAGAAAACATAGCTGTAGAAATGGGCTGCTTCCCTTCAGTGGCAGCTATGGCTCTGACCAGATAATACACTTCAGTATCATCATTATGGCAAATATAAAGAATTTTTTATTCTCTTAAGCTGTTTAATATACATTTGTAGTCCTTCAGACTACATAGGTTTTTCTCCTATTTTGTCTTTTTCTTTTTTAGTTTCTCACAAAACAAAATCGAACATGGTTCTCCTTTGTAACTCTTTGTGTTGTGAGCTTGATTAACCAGAAAAACACATGATAAAAATCCTGAAATACCACTCCAGTGCTCTTTATCATTTATAGTCTGCTCTGATGTAAGACCAATAGTGACATAGGTCAAGCAAAAGCAAAGTTGCTTTGCTCCCCGCTATGTCATTCCTCAAAACGTCCATATGAGGGCAGCAAAAAGCTGAATAATAGCAGATAACTTTCCTGGTTTGGAGTCTTTCAAGTTCAGTCATACAACTGACCTGTCGTTAACAAGATGCACACAGTTTATTTGTCATCATCATTCTCACTGTTAGCTTTTTATTCTTTCCATCTTCTGTTGACACTGTGCCTTATGCTATATATTGCACTTATCAAGTCCGTGCATGAGGTCCTCTATATAAAACGATCATAAAAGATTCATGTCACTATCAAGATAATCATTCTCAGCTACAGTGCCTATCAGCTGTTAGCAGGAAGCTGGCTGAAGTTAATGGAAATGGCCTGATCATTAAGGAAATTGCAACATAAACATGAAAACATATCATCCAACGCTTGAAATACATTGATGGCGACCACAATGCAAGCCAGCTTGCCTGAAAATAAATAAATGTGGTAAAAGCACTTATGAGGGTATGTCTTAATGTACAAAGTAAAGTTTGACCTCGATAAACCCTAAACATTTCTATTACTGTATAGTTATAATTCCATATATAGAGATTTAGTTTAAATCTGTTTAACCTTAAGATGCCTGTTTCCTATTTTAATCTATTCAAAAATCACCGCTCCAAAAAGAGAGCTGGTATAAGGAATGTTTTACCCTTTACAGTCAGCATCGTGGTAAGTTATATATTTAGTTTAAATTTAAGCCAACCACACTCCCTAAATGCAAAATAGATAGCAATGCATTGTTGTTTTGTTGTCTGTCCCACTTTGTCTTCTCTTTTTTGACAATGTGTTAGACACCATGCAACTAAATTGCACTAAGATGTGAGTGTAGAGAGAGGGCGCGGATGCAGTTTCTGTCATTTCTCCTCCAGTAATCTCATTCATTCCCATAGCTAGTTCTTGAAGTAACAGATCAAACAAATCGTTCCATTTGAACAGTAGCCCTAAACTAAATATCTGTAAATTGATCACAACATTTGGCTAAGACAAGCAGAAACTCTTTTGCACTGGAGAAGCTGGAACCATAGAAGGTTTTCTGTTTTTGGTTTAGTTTATAAACTAGTTGATTAACCAGTGTTCAGTGTTGTTGATAACAATATTGCTTCACGGAAGGAAACTCTGGGTTTGAATCCAGCACCCAGCTGGGGCCTTTCTTTGTGGTGTTTGTAGGTTTTCCTGTCGTTGCATCATGGGTTCTCTGTGGGTACACAGTTCCACAATCTAAAGTCATGCATCTCATGTTAACTGATGATTCTAAACCGGCTTTAGGTGTGAATGTGAGCTGTCTGTTTCTGTGTCTTAGCGAGTGATAGCAGCTTCACCAAGTTGTATGTCGTCTTTTGGTGTATATTAGCTGGGATAGGCTCCAGGGCCCCTAACACCCCAAACTAGATAAGGAGAAGAAAGTGGATGGGTGTGTGTTTGCGGCGGGGTGTAGTTTGCAGATCAGCTGCAGTGGGGGTGGGGGGTGGAGTAAAGGGTTCAGGAAATGGCGTTAGGGGGAGGTTGACCAACACAGCTAGCCGTCCCTATTTCAGTAGGTTGCTGAGACTTGACAGGAGTTGTTGTGTGTGGTGTGGAGCAACAAAGGCAACTGGAAGGCTGCGCTAATAAAAGCCCTGCAAATAAATATCAGCTGACTTGTAAGGCTGTGTTCTTCGGGTCCTTTTGTTATCGTGTTTTATTATCTCATATGTGATGATGCTGTTATGATGATGTTTTATGTTATATTGCTTCTTCTTGATTTTTGCTATCTCGTCTATCTCGAATGTCTATCTCGAATGTCTTATAACTGTGGTTCATTCTCAGATTTAGTCCCATCACATTGCCGAAATCAAGCTTTAAGGTGCCCCAAAGTCATATATCCTTTATCGGGACAACTTGAAATAGAGGCAGCCGTAGTTCAAACATTTCCGTCAGTCTTCATCTATCAGAGGTCCAGCAGGTTCAGCTCCAGGTCTAGAGTATATATGCTCCCTGCCTCTCCAGGTCTTTGTCTCAACTCTTGTATGGCCTGTGCTTGACAAACACAGCGGTGTAACTTTTACCTTTTCCTGAAACCCAGCAGGAAAACAAGCATATAGTGTGTTTGCACTGCTTTGCACTCAAGCTATAACACTAATTCAGATCAGCAGTGAGAGAAACTACTTGTTAGCTGCTGACAGGCTGAAGAGACTCAGTATTGTTGAGGCAGAATATTTTGGAATCCCACTTGTTAAGAGCTGCTCCACTCTGTGGGGGTAAACAAGGACTGCTGCCATATATAGAGCAGTAGACATCCCGTTGTGGACTCTCTCCAGCACTGCTTTGTAAAAAGATGCTAAAATTATACATCTCATGCTGATAAAGAATCGTGTGTTCATGAGTGTTTACATACGTGACTGACGAGCACGTTATTGCTGTATTACTGCCTTTTTATCTTTTGGGTCTGCAGTTTTATTGACATTACAAGCAATGAAACACCTACAAATAGATTCAAGAGTTCAAATAAGTGGATTTAGAGCAGGTTTATTGCAAGTAGGTGCTAATTACATAGGTAGAATTAGAAAGATGTAAAAGGAGGAACTGTCCCTGTGTGGTGTTGCTCCCCTCCTATCTAATAACTGGAGGGGGCTTGCTGGCACTCTAATTAGTGCGAGCAGGTCTTTTAGATTTGCCCTCTCAATTAAAGGAGAACATGTTAGTTTCCAATTTAGCTCCTGTTCCCCTCCCCTCCCCCCATCTGCCCCAACCTGCTTGTTAGATAGAACAGGTCTTTATTCAGCTGCAGTGTTGCGTAGCGAATCTCAGATCATCCTCTCATATCCTGGGAAAGGATTGAATTAGGAAGAAAGCTAGTATTGAGAGCAGACATATTTACATGGTTTTGCTTGTGTTTATAAAAGAGAGGATAAAAGGCCAAGGGAAAAAAAGGGAGAAAGAGGGAGTGGGGATGGTGGGAGGTGTTGAGTTATTTCATGCAGGGGAAAAAGAAAACACGTGAAAAAAATATGATATAAAAAGTGATGTAAAAAAAAAAGTTGGTTCACTAAAGCTAAAGTCCCCACTTTTAACCACTTTTATACCTGTTTTTAAGAGTGTGATTATGTAAGGGAAGTTATTTTTCCTGAGAAACTGAGACTTCCATGTTTGTTTCCAAAGCAGGGTGCAATCAGCGCTGCCAAAACCTTTTTTTTTTCTCCTGGCTGGACCACTCACTCACTCTCTCACTCTTTCTCCTCCTTTTTATTGTGTTTGTTGTTTTATGGAGGGGGTTAGATGCGGTCCAGATTGCCGTTGCCAATAGAGACAGTCTCAGTTCACCTCCACTCCATTCATAAACAAATCGCTCCGGCTCAGACCTCTGAGCCTCTACCTTAGAACAACAAGCAGAACTGGATTTGTATTTTGAAGTTTCGTCGCCCTGCTAGAAACTTCTTGCTTTCTGCTTCAGCTCTGTTTCACTGCTCCCTCCCTCCTCTCCCTCGTCCTGCTCTCTCTCAGCTTCAGCAGGGGTGGACACTGGCGCTCTGCTTAGTGTGGATCTGTCAGGGGTGGAGTGTGCACAGTTTGTGTGTGCGTGTGTGTGCATGTTTCTGTTGGGAACTTTTTTTTTCTTAGAACACTCTTTCTGAGTGTGAGAGTGGAGAGAGAGAGAGAGAGACACCCGCGGTGATGTGATTTGACTAAACAAACAGCCGGGCTCACTGCAGTACCTCCTCCAACGGACTCCTGGGACAGGAGAGATTAACCTCAGAGTGAACATCAGAGGGATCTATACATTTGAAGCAGCAGCCCCTGTAGAGACATCTCACTGGAAGTCTCTCCAATTTCCTTCTGCTGGCCGGCAACCTTCTTGGTCAAAGAGGAAAGATTCTTCTGTGTTTCTGGGGTTC